TTGAATATTTAGCTAATTTACCAAATTAGAATAGCAAATACATGAGTTAATTTATATGGACCTTATTTTGAGATTCAGTGTTATTTAAATTTTTGAATTGAGGTCACCAATCTAAAAAAAATAAGACAGATAATTGTCATTGCTTTTTAATGTTATTATTTAATTAGGTTTACATGCCACTGTTAAGGACTGGGTCAATTTGTAAAATATATCACAACTGTTATTTTTTGGTCATAGGAAAAAATGCTTCCATAGGAAATACTGAAAGCAAAGCCTCACTCTTCAGTTCATTAAGTCAATTTGAAGGATTAATTTTCCTCCAGAAAATAGCAAATGTCATTATCTTTGCTACTATCTCATCAGGAAGAATGGAGGTATACAGATTTTATTCTTTGCAGGTCCCACTTTATGTTTAACCAACATTATTAGGTTATCTTTTAGTGCCCAAATTATTGTTTATAAAGAAAACAATGAGTCTAGGTCAACCAAATGCCTAGTATCACTGAAAAAGACCTGTATATTCAGATTTTGAAGATGGCACTTTGTTTCCTAGAGTGGAATACAACATTAATAAGTAAAAACCTTTTACTGTCAATCCCTGAACAATATAAGTTTAAATTGCACAGGTCCACTTTTGTGGTGTTGCGTGATTTTTTTCAGTTGACTACAGTTCAGTTGACCCACATAGTTCATAATTGAGTTGTTCCAGCATCAACTCTGTGGTTGAGAATCCACATTTGAGGAAACCCCACTGTAGTTACATGTGGATGAGGAGGCCCCACTGTAGTTCTATGTGGATTTTTGACTGACAAGAGTCAACTGTATTGTACTGATTACTGTAGGCAACAACTTATCCAGACAAATCAGTGATATGACTTGAAAATAGGAACTGAGTAAGAACTGGACTATAAAATCTCATTCATTAAAAAACAAAGTGGTTAAAAATGCATTGTTCATAATATATAAGCACACATAATTACACCAGGTATATTTAGTTCAGACTATTTTAAATAAAAAAAAGTATAAAATAAATTAATGACTATTAAAGGACTTTAATAAAAGTTTAAATGATAAAAACAACAGGTGCTTTTATTCTTACAATTTTCATTATTCATATTGTTATTAAGCAATTGTAGAATTTTTTTTTTCTCCAGAATAATTATTATAAAAGGTTATAGATATGAAACAGTGGAGAGGTTTTAGAATTCTACTGTCCTCAGTTCAAGTTATGGTTCTACTACACTTACTGGGTGGGTGGGAAGATAGGCAAGGGGCACTTAGCCAAGTTAATTGTTCTCTTTCAGACTCAGATTTTTGGGCCACAAAAATAAATAGAGTTATGCAAGAGTCACAATGTCGTTAGGATTAGAAATTATGTATATAAATTAGCTCACATGGTGTGTAGCCCTAGTGAATGTTAATTAAATAGTATCAATCATCTTTGATTACTAAATGCTCTTCAGGATGACTGGGCATGAATCAAGCTATTATTAAAATTCATTCAAACTTATTTTAAATTCTGTAACTACTCACTATATAAAAATGTTCTATATGGTTCTTCACAAGTTACAGCCCTTAACTGTTTTTGCACATTTAGGCATATACATCTGCTTGCTTTTTGCATACATGAACTATGGCTTGGTCCAACCAGATATGTCCAAAATGGAACTCATCCCCTTCAAACAAACCACATGCACCATCTTGCATCACCACCACCCAGTCATTTTAAATAAAAACATGAGGTTTTTTGCTTTCTTTTTTAAAAAATTTTCTTCCTCCCCCATTCCCTTCCTTTCACTTCCCTCCCCTCC